TGACGAGGTTTATGAATATATATATATATTATATATATATATATATATATATATATATATATATATATAATTTTATTTAAAAATATATATTTTATATATGTTATAATATAGAAAATATTTTAATATATAATTTCCTTTCAAAAACAATTTTTCACAAAACAGAGTCTATAAAACCTTAAGGAATCAGTGCCTTCAAACTACTAACAGTTTCTACATACTCAACCATGATGATCTTTTGATGTGCAAAAAGATAAAATTACACAGAATGATGTTATGAAACTCCATGGCAAGCGGTTTAACACGCATGTAACGGGGTTTTTTTTTTTTTAACGAGAGTCGTGAACCACTGGAATAATCTCCACCCTGAATTTGTTAGTGGCAAATTAATACAGTTCTTCCATAATCAGCTGAACGAACAATTTGTCAATAGAGGAATCTAGGAGTCTACCAGAAGCAGTCTACCGGGCAGTGACCACCGGCACCGTGGGAGAAGCTCTGGAACTACATCGGGTGTGTGGTTGTCCAGAGTCTACTTAGAGTACACAGTACTTAGAAGCAGAATTAATTAATAGTTTGTACATAAATGTGGGTGGTTGTGGACTACCATGTTGTTGCAGTAGAGGTAGTTGTAGTTCATGTCTGCCAGCTGCCTCTTTCATGTGGAACATCCGTGGTGGGTTTTCGTATAATGTAAGATGTTTCATCTTTAAAGAGATTCTTAGTTTTCCATCTGCCTTTTTCACATTCTCTATCTTCTCTCTCCTCTCTCTCTCTCTCTCTCTCTCTCTCTCACTCACACACACACAGTTTTACAAGGTTAGGTTAAGAGTCCTAGCTTCATTTACAAGCTAAGAGTTGTTACCTCCATCAACTCATTTGAAAGTCTTTTTATTATGACACATGCAAATATGGAGCAGGGTAAAGTTGGAGCCAACTGTGGGCCAGCAGTTTCATTTGATCAGCTGACTTTATTTCGCTGATATTATTCTGTACAAACTTGTTTCCGATCTCGAGTCATCCTAGGAATAAATGATCTCAGAGGAAGTGATGTTGTCTCTCTCTGTCTCTCTCTTTGCTTTTAAAAAATTCTTCCAGGTACACTTGCTAGGTGTTCATGTGCCAGTCTGTCTTTCCTCACCGGGCTGTAAGAGGATGCATTTTACGATTGTGCTTACACATCCACCTGGTCTGGAGAGGCCGCTGTGGTCGCTCCAGGCTAGATGTGTCCCCAGACACCTCGAGCCTTTAGAGTGTCTAAAGACTTAGAATATCTAGCCTCTAGAGTCTCTAGACTCTTCAGTACAGGTGGCTTAATGTCGCTGAAGAGTTCTTTAACTGAGGAATCAGAGCTGTTCTTCCCTTGAATTAAATCTGTTTACCTCCCATTTCCACTTGCGCTGTATACCATTTTGATATCCACTTGCGCTGTCTGACCTCTGCGGGTTTTAGCGCTTATCCCCTATTGTCCCTTTTTGTTCTTCAACGTGAACACCATAAATTATATCATGGACACCATAAATTCCATCTCAATCACCTAAAATTACAACACGAACACCAAAAAATTTCAACTCCCTATATCAGACACATGTGAGCCAGATACACCAATAACCTACCCATATGAGAGAGGAGCTTACGACGACGTTCCGGTCCGACTTGGACTATTTACAAAGTCACAGTAACAGAAAGGAAAGGAAGAGGCAGTATATATATGCCAGCAGACAGGGACAGGACAAGAGAGGTAGTAGGAAAGGAAGTAGAGAGGTAGTTGTATAGTAGTATAGTAGTATTAGTAGTAGTGGAGTCAGTCAAAGGCCAAGAAAGAGGAGCACTGCAAGAGAGCTAAAGGCCCACAAGGGCCTCTGTGGCTCACCTGTCCTTTCCTTCGGCGAGTCACATGTACGTCTCTCCGAGGTACTCAGAACAAGTGTAGTTAAGAATGAGACACTTGTGTGCATCATTTGCCAAGCTTTATTGCGGAAACGTTTCGCCAGCCAGTGGCTTCTTCAGTCCAGTACAGATAAGATTTGGAGGGGTTTGAGGTAATAAGTTCTTCAGTCTGAAGTCAATGTGTTTATTCCATCAGTCTTGAGAAAAGTACAGCATTTGTGTAGGTAAGTTGCTGGTCTCTCCATTACAGGACTCAGCGTCGAGCCTCTGCCAGTCTTTACAATGTATGGATGAGTGTATTGCCAACAAGTATGATAACAGTGACTCGAGATGTGTGGGACAACGTTTCTCTCTGTGTAGAGCTTTACCATGTCATGCATAACACTACAACCTCTGCATGACTTGATAAAGCTCTACACAGAGTGAAACTTTGTCCCCGGTAAAAGCTCTTTTATTTTTTTTTTTAATTTGAGTTTCTATCTTCACTATTTACCTTGATGGCTCCCCACAGGTTTAGTGTTTCTCATAAATAATCTTTTACGTACCATCAGTAATGCACAAAAATAACTTCGTGTCTGAGGCTCCTGGCTTAGCAGAGAATGTTTGTCCTCACACTAGATACAAATCACGTTAATGATTTATGTATTTATTTTTGTATGCATGGTAATATTTTTTTGTGTGGCCGCTGGCGCTTTTGGCGGACAAAAATCTCATTGTTTAGACTTAAGCCGCACGTTGCCTGCCTGAAAAAGAATTTACGAGGCTCATAATTCTGAACAAGACTGAAGCCCAAGTCAGATTTCATAGATATTATACGTTACAGGAATGTACTGCCTCTCGAGATTCCTGGTTTATCTCGTGGTTTTCTTCTGTTGAATCAAAGAAGTGAATTAGATTTTTTTTTTAGCCTGGCATGTGTCAGGATTTGTCTTGTGGACTTGTGGGTTAATGTTGCTACAAATCCATATAATGTTACGAGGTTGAATTTTGTTCTTGGGTGTATGTCTGTAAAGTATCTGTCTTCCTGTGTTTGTCTGTAAAGTATCTGTCTTCCTGTGTTTGTCTGTAAAGTATCTGTCTTCCTGTGTATGTCTGTAAAGTATATGTCTTCCTGTGTTTGTCTGTAAAGTATCTGTCTTCCTGTGTATGTCTGTAAAGTATATGTCTTCCTGTGTACGTCTGTAAAGTATCTGTCTTCCCGTGTATGTCTGTAAAGTATCTGTCTTCCTGTGTATGTCTGTAAAGTAGCTGTCTTCCTGTGTATGTCTGTAAAGTATCTGTCTTCCTGTGTATGTCTGTAAAGTATCTGTCTTCCTGTGTATGTCTGTAAAGTAGCTGTCTTCCTGTGTATGTCTGTAAAGTATCTGTCTTCTTGTGTAGGTCTGTAAAGTATCTGTCTTCCTGTGTATGTCTGTAAAGTATCTGTCTTCCTGTGTTTGTCTGTAAAGTATCTGTCTTCCTGTGTATGTCTGGAAAGTATATGTCTTCCTGTGTATGTCTGTAAAGTATCTGTCTTCCTGTGTACGTCTGTAAAGTATTTGTCTTCCTGTGTATGTCTGTAAAGTATCTGTCTTCCTGTGTAGGTCTGTAAAGTATCTGTCTTCCTGTGTATGTCTGTAAAGTATCTGTCTTCCTGTGTATTTCTGTAAAGTAGCTGTCTTCTTGTGTATGTCTGTAAAGTATCTGTCTTCCTGTGTAGGTCTGTAAAGTATCTGTCTTCCTGTGTGTGTCTGTAAAGTATCTGTCTTCCTGTGTATGTCTGTAAAGTAGCTGTCTTCCTGTGTATGTCTGTAAAGTAGCTGTCTTCCTGTGTATGTCTGTAAAGTATCTGTTTCCTGTGTATGTCTGTAAATATCTGTCTTCCTGTGTAGGTATGTAAAGTATCTGTCTTCCTGTGTATGTCTGTAAAGTATCTGTCTTCTTGTGTAGGTCTGTAAAGTATCTGTCTTCCTGTGTATGTCTGTAAAGTATCTGTCTTCCTGTGTATGTCTGTAAATATCTGTCTTCCTGTGTATGTCTTAAAGTATCTGTCTTCCTGTGTATGTCTGTAAAGTATCTGTCTTCCTGTGTATGTCTGTAAATATCTGTCTTCCTGTGTAGGTCTGTAAAGTATCTGTCTTCCTGTGTATGTCTGTAAAGTATCTGTCTTCTTATGTATGTCTGTAAAGTATCTGTCTTCGTATGTATGTCTGTAAAGTATCTGTCTTCTTATGTATGTCTGTAAAGTATCTGTCTTCTTATGTATGTCTGTAAAGTATCTGTCTTCTTATGTATGTCTGTAAAGTATCTGTCTTATGTATGTCTGTAAAGTATCTGTCTTCTTACGTATGTCTGGTAAAGTATCTATCTTTCAAAGTATGTCTTGTAAACCATTTGCCTTCCTATATATGTCTTGTAAGATATCTATCTTCCTATATGTCTTGTAAGATATCTATCTTCCTATATATGTCTTGTAAGATATCTATCTTCCTATATATGTCTTGTAAGATATCTATCTTCCTATATATGTCTTGTAAGATATCTATCTTCCTATATATGTCTTATAAGATATCTATCTTCCTATATATGTCTTGTAAGATATCTATCTTCCTATATATGTCTTGTAAGATATCTATCTTCCTATATATGTCTTGTAAGATATCTATCTTCCTATATATGTCTTGTAAGATATCTATCTTCCTATATATGTCTTGTAAGATATCTATCTTCCTATATATGTCTTGTAAGATATCTATCTTCCTATATATGTCTTGTAAGATATCTATCTTCCTATATATGTCTTGTAAGATATCTATCTTCCTATATATGTCTTGTAAGATATCTATCTTCCTATATATGTCTTGTAAGATATCTATCTTCCTATATATGTCTTGTAAGATATCTATCTTCCTATATATGTCTTGTAAGATATCTATCTTCCTATATATGTCTTGTAAGATATCTATCTTCCTATATATGTCTTGTAAGATATCTATCTTCCTATATATGTCTTGTAAGATATCTATCTTCCTATATATGTCTTGTAAGATATCTATCTTCCTATATATGTCTTGTAAGATATCTATCTTCCTATATATGTCTTGTAAGATATCTATCTTCCTATATATGTCTTGTAAGATATCTATCTTCCTATATATGTCTTGTAAGATATCTATCTTCCTATATATGTCTTGTAAGATATCTATCTTCCTATATATGTCTTGTAAGATATCTATCTTCCTATATATGTCTTGTAAGATATCTATCTTCCTATATATGTCTTGTAAGATATCTATCTTCCTATATATGTCTTGTATAGATATCTATCTTCCTATATATGTCTTGTAAGATATCTATCTTCCTATATATGTCTTGTAAGATATCTATCTTCCTATATATGTCTTGTAAGATATCTATCTTCCTATATATGTCTTGTAAGATATCTATCTTCCTATATGTCTTGTAAGATATCTATCTTCCTATATATGTCTTGTAAGATATCTATCTTCCTATATATGTCTTGTAAGATATCTATCTTCCTATATATGTCTTGTAAGATATCTATCTTCCTATATATGTCTTGTAAGATATCTATCTTCCTATATATGTCTTGTAAGATATCTATCTTCCTATATATGTCTTGTAAGATATCTATCTTCCTATATATGTCTTGTAAGATATCTATCTTCCTATATATGTCTTGTAAGATATCTATCTTCCTATATATGTCTTGTAAGATATCTATCTTCCTATATATGTCTTGTAAGATATCTATCTTCCTATATATGTCTTGTAAGATATCTATCTTCCTATATATGTCTTGTAAGATATCTATCTTCCTATATATGTCTTGTAAGATATCTATCTTCCTATATATGTCTTGTAAGGTATCTATCTTCCTATATATGTCTTGTAAGATATCTATCTTCCTATATATGTCTTGTAAGATATCTATCTTCCTATATATGTCTTGTAAGATATCTATCTTCCTATATATGTCTTGTAAGATATCTATCTTCCTATATATGTCTTGTAAGATATCTATCTTCCTATATATGTCTTGTAAGGTATCTATCTTCCTATATATGTCTTGTAAGATATCTATCTTCCTATATATGTCTTGTAAGATATCTATCTTCCTATGTGTGCCTTGTAAATTGTTTATCTTCCAATGAGTGCTTGAAAAACTATTTATCGTCTTATGTATATCTCGTAAACTGTTTATCTTTGTATGTATGTCTGGTAAACTATCTATCTTCCTATATATGTAATGAGAACACTTGAGCGGCCACCTGTGGTTGTTTGCCCTTGAGAAACCATAAACAAAATATACGAGGCCCTATTACTGAAAAAAGTAATGTGTCTAAAATCAGTTTTATGGAGCAAATGCAGGAGGTTCCAGTCACACAAACTAGGTATCTTCTTTTTGTTTCAACTCAGGAAGGAGTTGATTGTAGAGAAAACAGTCGTATACACACACACACACATGTATATATATATATATATATATATATATATATATATATATATATATATATATATATATATATATATATATATATATATATATATATATATATATATTATATATATATATATTAGATTCAGGGAAACCGGAAATGGGACGTACAATGCCTGCACTTTAAAGAGGGGTTTGGGATATTGGCAGTTTGGAGGGATGTGTTATACATGTATGTTATACATACATACATATGTTATACATATCTCTTTTTTATATATGCTTCTAAACTGTTGTATCTGGGCGCCTCTACAAAAACAGTGATTATGTATGAGTGAGGCAAAAGTGTTGAATGATGAAAGTATTTTCTTTTTGGGGATTTTCTTTCTTTTTGGGGATTTTCTTTCTTTTTGGGTCGCCCTGCCTCAGTGGGAGACGGCCGACTTGTTATATATATATATATATATATATATATATATATATATATATATATATATATATATATATATATATATATATATATATATATATATATATATATATTTACATACATATATAATTTGTGAATAAAGTGACTTTTGTTAGGTGTAATTTTCTTGTATAGTGGTAAGTGTATCGTGGTGTTTTATTATTTGTTTTAGCAATACATGTTTGGTGTTTATATGAGATGCTGGAAAAGTAACAGTGAAGTGTTTTGCTCTCATCGTTGCTTTATATTTCCGTAAAGTGAGTTACGACAGTTCGTGTGTTTTAAATATTGATTGAAGTTTACGTTTAAAAGTTTTAAAATAACTTGGCACTTTTTTATAAATATATTCACTTTCTGTTCGATGTTTTAACATTCCACATCCGCTAATCAAACCAAGCATAAATAGTATTTATCTCTGTGTATATACACTGGAAAGCATGTATTTCTGAAATGTATTTATCTGTGTATACGCACCGTGTATATAAAATGAGAGATGTGTTTCTCTTTGAATGTACATCGAGAAGTATGTGTCTCCCGTGGATATATACCATAAGGTGTATCTGTGTATGTACACTATGGCGTGTATGTTTCAATGTATATGCACCGAGAGTTTACTGCAATTCCCTTGACTGATGCTGCTGCTGCATTACTTAACACTCTACCTCACTACTGAATCTAGCACATTATAACTAGCTATGTATATTTATGAACCACTTTCCTAGTTTCTGAACGGACCTGGATACGCCATTTACGTCCTATCCCGACCGAAGCGGCTAGCTGTTAGTGCAATAAGACTCAATCTCTTTTTGGGAATGGCTGGAGCAATGGACCTCTGACGCCACCATAACCGATGGCCATTTGGCTGGCAACGACGCATTTGGTCGGTGACACACACTCACAACCAGTTTTCCAGCCCTGGGAGTAGTCCAAGGGATTCTCATCCAGGCAGGAGGAGTAACAGAGGAAGGAATTCAAAGTAGTGTTTATTGAGTATACGCAGAGATGATTAAACATTTCAGAAGGTATTAGATACTGTGCTACATCAGAAAATGGTTCACAGGCTGGAGGATGAAGGAGCTATAATGGAAAATTGGAGGAAGGAAACAGTGTGATGGTCAGGGAGAATTAATCAAGATGTGCAGACGTGAGTAGTGGGGTCCCACAAGGGTCAGTGCTGGAACAGGTATTGCTTCTCATATAAAACAGACATGCCAGAGAAGGTGGAGTCAAGCATTTTGCTGTTTGAAGATGTAAAACTATTGAGCAAAAACTGGAAGATGACATATAAAGACTTCAAGACGACCTGGACCGACTACAGGGATGGTCAGATAAGCAGCTATGAATTCGACCCCAGCAAGAGAAAGATTTTAAAATCGAGAAAAGACGAAGATCGAAGAAGGACTATAGACTGAGAGAACTAAGGCTGCAAACATCAAACAATGGGAACTTTGGGATAAGCTCGGTACTGGAGGCACTCACGAACAGAACAGCGTCCGAGGCACCGTGCACTTAGCAAACTTGAGAACGGCTTTCAAGAACCTTAGCAAAGTTTAATTCAAGATTGTGTATATGACATACGTCAAGCCTGTCATGCACTACGCTTTGGCAATACGCATCCCACAAATATTCAGTCATATAAAGAACCTTGAAAATGGCGGATATAAATAATGCACTGCCAACAACAGTGAAAAATGCACACGTTGCGAAGCAAGCTTTGACTGGGAGAATAAAACCTTTAATAAACAAAGCAATACGTTTTGTCGATAAACTTTCATATTGGAACTTGCAGCCAGTCAGAGAGTAAGCCTCAGATGACACGCGTTTATCATTTCGTGAAACACGATCTACTTTGTTTTCCAACGTTTGCCTTTTCCTCAGAAACAAGACAGAGACTAAAGATTCACACTGCGAAGCAGGGAATTTAATACAAACTGGCCTCATGCACTTGAGAAGCGGGCGTAACAGAAGCTGGTGGCTCGACCACCGCAACCACAACCAGGCGACTCCAGCGAGATGAATATACACAGGAATTGAAAGGAAGGAAATCTGTCAATCGCCAAGAGGAAAGGTAAGGGGGTAGGGGAAGGGGTTAAGGGAAGGGTTTGAGGGAGGAGGGGAAGGTGGTGTTGGTGATGAAGTGGTTCATGAATTATTACTGGCAACACAACTAACACGAGTTACAACCTCCTCCCAGCACCACGGCACGCCACTATCTAAGGAATATTTAATGAACCCGCCAGGTCACGTATGGGGAGGGAGGAAGCGAGAGCTGAGAGAGAGAGAGAGAGAGAGAGAATATATCACAATTTTTTTAATTAAATGTGAAAAACTTCATTAAAATCTATAGGCTTAGGCGCTGTTTACTTTACGTTCATGCTTTTCAGCCACGCACACACACACACACACACACACACACACACACACACACACACACACACACACACACACACACACACACACACACACACACACACACACACACACACACACACACACACGCACGCGCGCGCGCGCACGTGTGTGTGTTCCAGAGATGGGACACAGCAACAAGGGGTCACAGTTGGAAGCTGAAGACTCAGATGAACCACAGTGATGTTAGGAAGTATTTCTTCAATCACAGAGTTGTCAGGAAGTGGAATAGCCTGGGTAGTGATGTAGTGGAGGCAGGTTCCATACATAGCTTTAAGAAGCGGGAAGAGTGACTGGGTGGCGGCCAGTTGAAGAGGCGGGGCCAGGAGCTGTGAATCGACCCCACAACCACAACTAGGTGAGTGCACACACACACACACAAGCTATTGAAAGTATCATGAAAGCAATAGGAGGAGATGACATGACCCAGCTGGCAAATTTTCTGAGAATAGGGGGGTTTGCAAGAGGAAAAAACCGGCCAGTCAAAGTGATTTTTAAGACAGAATCGGCTCAAAACAGGATCCTGCAGGAGAAAGTAAGACTTAGGGACATGCTGGCATACCGGAAGGTGTATCTCGACCGCGACAGAACATGAGAAGAAAGGCAGACACTGAATGAGAGGGTACAAAGACGAAAGGAGGAAAGAGAGGTGAATTGGAGATGGACAGGAGAACCCAGACTCAGGAGGAAGATCAAATACAACCTCCCTCACAACCACCTTCAGAAGCCCCCCAACCAGGGCAATCCCAATGCAACCAAACACTCTAACCCAAAACACACATACCATACCCAATGCCCCCATCCACCTCATTACAAACTCCACCTTCACAGCAACCACCCATAGTTTCTCATCAGGTCTCCCGCTTCCCCAACCCCAATGTACCCCCAGACCACAGTTCTTAGAAAAGAAGTTGAAGGTTTGGTATACAAATGCAGATGTAATAACAAACAAGTGTGAGGAGTGGCATGAAACAGTCAAGGAGACATCCCCAGCCATAATAGCACTCACAGAAACGAAACTCACCAGGATGATAACAGATGCAGTCTTTCCACCTGGATATCAAATCCTCAGGAAAGATAGAAGGAGCAGGAGGGGAGGAGGAGATGCACTGTTCATTAAAAACCGGTGGGGATTTGAGGAAATGGAAAGAATGGGTGGAATGGGTGAAAGGGACTACATAGTAGGAACAATCCAGTCTGAGGGCCATAAGGTGGTAATTACAGTAATGTACAACTGCCACAGAACTGAAGGAGGCCAATCGAAGAATACGACGAGAGCAACAGAGGAATGGTAGACACACTAGTTGAGGTGTCCAGAAGAGCTCACATGGGGAGAGCAAAGTTACTAGTTATGGGTGATTTCAGTCACAAGGAGATTGACTGGAAAAATTTGGAGCTTCATGGGGTTCCCGAAACATGGAGAGCCAAGATAATGGATGTGGTACTGGGAAACCTCATGTATCAACATGTTAGAGACACTTCCAGAGAGAGAGAGAGAGAGGTGAGGATGATCCGACAAGACTGGACCTATTATTCACCTTGAGTAGTTCAGACATCGAGGATATCACGTACGAAAGGCCCCTTGGAGCTCCAGATTATTATGTTTTTCTGTGCTTTGATTACATAGTTGAGCTACAAGTGGAGAGAGTAGCAGGAATAGGTTATGAAAAACCAGACTACAAAATGGGAGACTATACAGGCATGATGAACTTCCTGTAAGACGTTCAGTGGGAGAGAGAATTGACAGGAAAACCAGTAAAAGAAATGATGGATTATGTGACAAAAAAAATGCAAGAAGGCAGAGGAGAGGTTTGTTTCCAAGGGAAACAGAAATATTGGGAAGACCAGAATGAGTCCTTGGTTCACCCAAAGCTGTAGAGAGGCAAAAACTAAGCATTTTAGAGAATGGAAAAAGTGCAGAAGACAAAGGATCCAGGAAAATAGAGATTAGCTGACGAGCCAGAAACGAATATGCACAGGTAAGAAGGGAGGCTCAGCGACAATACGAAAATGACATAGCATCGAAAGCCAAGTCTTACCCTAAGCTTTTGTATAGCCACATCAGGAGGAAAACAACAGTCAAGGGCCAGGTAACCAGGCTAAGGAAAGAAGGTGGGGAGTTCACAAGAGACCAAGAGGTATGTGAGGAGCTCAACAAGAGATTTAAAGAAGTATTTACAGTGGAGATAAAAATGACTCCAGAAATTCAGAATAGGGAAGTACACCAACAAGTGCTGAGGAGGAGGTGAAGAAGCGGCTATGTGAGCTTGATACCTCAAAGATGGTGGGAGCAGACATCTCTCTGTGGGGCCTTAGAGAGAGAACAGAGATACTGTGTGTGCCACTAACAAAAATCTTCAACGCATCCACTGAAACTGGGCAGTTACATGAAGTATGGAAGATGGCAAATGTAGTCCCAATTTTTAAGAAAGGAGACAGACACCAGGCATTAAACTATAGACCAGTGTCACTGACGTGTATAGTATGCAAAGCCACGGAGAAGATCATCAGGAGGAGAGTGGTGGAGCACCTGGAAAAACACAAACTTATAAACGACAACCAGCACGGTTTCAGGGAAGGAAAGTCCTGTGTCACAAACCTGCTGGAGTTTTATGACAAGGTAACAGAAGTAAGACACGAGAGAGAGGGGTGGATAGACTGAATTTTCTTGAACTGCAAGAAGGGCTTCGACACAGTTCCTCACAAGAGGGTAATGCAAAAGCTAGAGGATCAGGCATGCATGACAGGAAAGGCTCTGCAGTGGATCAGAGAATATCTGACAGGGAGGCAACAACGAATCATGGTACGTGACGAGGTGTCAGAATGGGCGCCTGTAACAAGCGGGGTTCCACAGGGGTCAGTCCTAGGATCTGTGCTGTTTTTGGTATATGTGAATGACATGACAGAAGGGATAGACTCACAAGTGTCCCTGTTTGCAGACGACGTGAAGTTAAAGAGGAGAATTAAATCTGATGAGGATCAGGCAGGACTACAAAGAGACCTGGACAGGCTACAAGCCTGGTAAAGCAACTGGCTCCTTGAATTTAACGCTGCCGAATGCAAAGTCATGAAGATCAGGGAAGGGCAAAGAAGACCGCAGACGGAGTATAGTCTAGGTGGCCAAAGACTGCAAACCTCACTCAAGGAAAAAGATCTTGGGGTGAGTATAATACCGAGCACATCTGCGGCGCACATCAGTCAGATAACTGCTGTAGCGTACGGGCGTCTGGCAAACCTAAGAATAGCTTTCCGATACCTCAATAAGTAATCGTTCAAGACTCTGTACCCCATATACGTCAGGCCTGTACTGGAGTATGCAGCACCAGTTTGAAATAAACACCTGGTCAAGCACGTCAAGAAATTAGAGAAAGTGCAAAGGTTTGCGAGAAGACTAGTTCCAGAGCTAAGGGGATTGTCCTACGAAGAAAAGTTAAGGGAAATCGGTCTGACGACACTGGAGGACAGTAG